AGAAGCTGCCTTGCTCCCCCTTTGCCTTTTGCCAAGATTTTGTTTCCTGAGGCTTCCCCAGCCATGCTGAACTATGAGTCAATTAAACCCCTTTCCTTTATAAATTACCCAGTCTTGGGCAGTTCTTTATAGCAGTATGAAAATGGACTTATATAGGCAGGATCTAAAAATACTTTAGTTCATGGCATTTATTCACTCAAAGACATTTACTGAGCAATTATAATGGATCAGGCAGTGTATGAGAAACTGGAAATATATCGTTCTATTATAAAGACACATGCACACGTATGTTAATTGCAGCACTGTTTACAATAGCAAAGACCTGGAACCAACCCAAATGCCCACAGATGACAGACTGGATAGGGAAAATGTGGCACATATACATCATGGAATACTATGCAGCCATAAAAAAAATGGTGAGTTTGTGTCCCTTGTAGGGACATGGATGAACCTAGAAACCATCATTCTCAGCAAATTGACATAAGAACAGAAAATCAAACACCACATGTTCTCACTCATAGGCGGGTATTGAACAATGAGAACACATGGACACAGGGAGGGGAGCATCACACACTGGGGTCTAGTTGGGGGGAAATAGGGGAGGGACAGTGGAGGGTGGGGAGTTGGAGAGGGATAACATGGGGAGAAATGCCAGACACAGGTGATGGGGATGGAGGCAGCAAACCACATTGCCATGTATGTTCCTACGCAACAATCCTGCACGTTCTTCATACGTACCCCAGAACCTAAAGTGCAATAAAATATATTTAAAAAAAACAAAACTGAAAATATAATGGTGAACAAGAGATCAAGTTCAATGGAGTACAAAGATTAACAGGCAATACTCGAATAGTGTAGTGAGTATTACAACAAAGTGAATGTGGCTGCTATTAGTTATGAAGTATGGCTAGGACCTCTGAATTGTAAAACTTATACTTGCTAGATATTGAGAAGAAGTGAAGCACAGAGGACAAAGTCAGCCAGAAGTGTCCCTAGCTTAGATCTAGTGTCCAACTGCTAGGCTTTAGTTTGGGATTGGGGTAAACCCACATATTATGCATCACTTCCCCCTTCTCTGGGCCACATTCATTTGGCCTTGATAGAGATTCCAAAGAAGGAAGCTCCATGTTGACGTTATTGTATGAAACCAGTGGTGTTTCATAAAAGCCCATGCCTGAAAAAAAGGAACCATTCCCTATGCTCCCCCAAATCTGAAAAGAGAACACATTCTGCTTGCAAAGCCAGAACTTTATCCGTCATGACACGAAAACTCTATTCCTTTGTACTATAGCTTTAGACCCTTGACTGAGCCCCTCCATGATCCTCCTTGGTGCTATATTAAAGGGGGTAGATCTGAGTTTCATAAGGGTTAGAATGCAAAACTCATAATTTTCCCACTTTTCTCTTTTCTTCTATCATATCCCTAAGTTTTCTGCTTGAGGGAATTAGTGCCCTGGTATGTCTAATGAAAACTGTTCTGAGGCTTTCTTACCTAAAACTCACTGTTTTGAGTATACTCTGCCAAACTGGCCCTGGCTTCTGCAAGTAGTTTCTTTGTATCTCTCCATCAGTGGGGAGCTTGGGTCCTGAATTCTGAATTGGGCTACTCAGGTTCCCAGAGCTGCAGCCAGCCTTTCTGCTAGGTTATATAACAGGGCTAAAGACGAGGTTAAACTCCATCCAGTTTTTAACACCTTGTATGTGAGAACTGATGCTATCAAGAATTTATATGTACTCCAATAGCTTCCTTAAGTTTTCCTGTCTCAGCATGTAACCTACTATTTACTTACTTTTCCCTTCCACCAGACTCTGAACTCTTCGAGGACAGAAATACTGTGCTATCTCCATTATATTTCCTGTGTCTAGTATAGTAAGTACTTAATGAATGTTAGTTGACTGAATGAAGTCCTCTATCAGGTAAGATTTGAATTGCTAATGAAAGCAAATCTAATGAAAAACCAGCCATTCCCCGACCCCAAAAATATCCAGCAAATTTTTAGCTCATGCAAAGTCCAAGGCTCAAGTCATGTTACATCCTAAGGAGCTTGTCTATTTCACTATTTTTGCTCTCTTCTTTGCTGTGTTTGGCTTCACTTTCAGGTATGCCTTCTTTAGATGGAGTGCCCTGGTATAGCAAATGCAATTTCTAATTCCGGTTGGGCCTGATTGTCTTGGCTTGATACAGGTGCCTATCCCCAAATCAGTCACAGAAGCCAAAAGAGTGTGCTGCTTTGCTTGGTCAAGGTCAAAAGACCCTTGAAACTGGGGGTGATTGACTGAGCGCCACGGAAGTATAGTGGATTGTGTGTGTGTGTGTGTGTGTGTGTGTGTGTGTGTGTGTGTGTAGGGGGTGGTATGGGGAGCATGGATGCTAGTCAGCCGAAGTAATTCCACTTTCAAATCCCATTGCTGCATTCCATGTATTTCCTGACATTGAAACCCTGGGGGGCAGGGATACCAGCCCACATGACTTGGTCTGTGACTGCCAGCTCTTCCCTAGAGGTGAGGGTCACCCTTCCTGCTTACAGTGTTCCCCAGACTCTGCATTACTCTGCTTACAGCATGGTCCTGCTTGTCCTCTTCCTGCTCTAAATGTTTCCAGTAGGCTGCACAGTACATGCAATGTCCTTTCAGACACTTTGGCAACTAGTGAGTCATGTATACAAAGAACTATTCAAAGCAAAATGTGGCCAGTTCTCTAAGAGAGTAGTGAAAAGATGTTTGGAGAGCAGAGATAAAGGCATGCAACATCTGGCTGGGAGTATGACAGCAGACAACCAATTCAGGGACTATCAAACACCCAGGACAAGCTTAAGTATAGGATGAATAAGGACAGTGACAGTGATAACAATAACAATAGCTGACACATACAGTACTCACCATGAGCCAGGCCCCGTTCTATGAACTTTATATTAGGTTTACAACACCCTTTCAAGTAGATATAATTATTTTCCTCCTTTTAGAGATGAAGTTAAGTAACTTGCCTAAGGTCACAGAGTAAGAAAGTGGCAAAATAAGTCTGGGTTCCTATCACAGAGGGTCTTAAAAGCCAGGTACAGTGATAGCCTTGACTCCCAATGGACTCAAACATTCTGAGAGCAGGACTGTGTCTAGTTCACCTTTGTGTTTTTTAGAACACCTAGGTGGGCTCTATACTTAGGTAGAAGCCATATATCAATCCTGTTTGAATAGACTGTCTTTTCCCCCAGTAAACAAGCATTTGAAAGCAGTGTATTACTGGAGGGCGCCCTGGCAAGAGCCTGTGGTACTAGCTACTCCACCAGATGATTAGGCAAGAGGATTGCTTGAGCCCAGGAGTTTTAGGCTGTAGCCCACTGCGCATTCCAGCCTGAGCAACACAGGGGGATTCTGTCTCAAATAAGCAAGTAAGTAAATAAATAAATAAAAGCAGTATGTTACTGGAATGAGCATTGTTATATAAATACACAGTCTTCCACAGAAGTACAGTCCTAGACAGGAAGTTATGGATCTGACTAATTGAGGCTTTCACCTTTGACTCAATGTGTGACTCTGGCAAGTGATGTAATGGCTCCAAGCTACAGATTTTCCAATGGTAAAAGAGAGGAAAATAGGTATCCAACATATTCTACCAGGACATACTGATAATACAATAATAACAATAAATAAATACACGTATTAAGTTCTTGCAATATTTAAGAGGAAAAGTACTACAAGACACCGAGATATTTTTCTTAATGTCACCATAATTTCAGTAATCAACAGATATGCATTGGGAGCCAAATATTCTAGACACTATGGGATTACAACAGAACAGATTGACAACAGATCTCTGCTAGTCTTTATTTCATTTCTTTCTTTTTTTTTTTTTTTTTGAGTCAGAGTTTCGCTCTTTTTACCCAGGCTGGAGTGCAATGGCGCAATCTCGGCTCACCGCAACCTCCGCCTCCTGGGTTCAGGCAATTCTCCTGCCTCAGCCTCCTGAGTAGCTGGGATTACAGGCACGCACCACCATGCCCAGCTAATGTTTTGTATTTTTAGTAGAGACGGGGTTTCACCATGTTGACCAGGATGGTCTGGGTCTCTTGACCTCGTGATCCACCCACCTCGGCCTCCCAAAGTGGTGGGATTACAGGCGTGAGCCACAGCGCCCGGCCTAGTCTTTATTTTATAGGCAATTATGGACAAGGTCAGTTTCAGTGATTAACACAGAGATTATTTAACAGAACATCAAATGGGGGAGAACGTTAGAGAGCACTTGGATTATATATGAGAGAGGCAGAGAAACCGAGACTCAAAAGGGGGAAATAATACAGAAACAAATGTCCTTAAAGAAAAGAACAGGCTCTGAGTTTGAGCCTCAGTGGAAGAGTTTACCATCTGGGGCCAGTCACTTAGCTTTTCTGAGCCAATTTCCTCCCTTCTAAAATGGGGATAGTAACGATCTACTTCAAAGCGCTCATGCTTGAAAAACTTTAATCCAGTGGTTGGCTAAGCACCAGAAGTCAACTATTACTATTGTTACCTCTGCAGGAGCAAGGTATTTTCCGTCCCTTTCTCTATAAAAAAACCCACTGTTTCTCCAATTAGACCCCATTCATGAGGCCAAAGCAGAAACCAAAGTGCTTTAAAAAGCTCGGAGACGGGTGCCGCAGAAACATGAACCCAGTCATCCAGGGCGGTAAAGCACAGCCCCCTCGGCAAAGCCCACCTTCCATTTCCTTCCCTTCCATTTCGGGAAAGCCAAGCTCCCCCTACGCGTTCGGCTAACTTATTTTCTTGCCTCGCCAGGTCGCTGGGCTTTCTCTAGCTTCTCTCCGCGACCTCTCGGTCTTGCAGGCCCCGCGGCAGTGAAGCGGCTAGGGCTGGCGCCTGGCTCCTTCAGCGTTTCATTCTTCCCCCCGGCTCCCGCCGGCCGCAACCGCCTTCCGAAGCCGGGGCTCCCGCCGGGATTGACGCGCTGGGGGAGGAGCGGTTTCTCGGTGCGCGCCTCTAAGGAGCATTACGGCAGGGCTCGTTCCCGGCTCCGGCCGCCAGCCCCAGCTTCCCAGGTCCGGAGCCGGGACTGGGGGAGGCTAGGAGGGAGGGAGCACGAGCAAGGAGGCACGCGCCCGCCGGTCCGCGCCCAGCCCGCCGCCGCTGCCTTAGCAGCTATGGCCGAGCGCCGCGCCTTCGCCCAGAAGATCAGCAGGTAAATCTCCGGCGTGGGGCGCGCCGCCGACGCCCGAGGAAGAGCCGCGGAGTCTTCCCGGGCCGGGCCTAGGAGGCGAGTGGGTGTGGCGGGGCCGGAACCGGGATCCCGCGGCCTGGCCCGCGGAGGGGCGGAAGGGGTTCGCTGTGGCTGCGGGGGTAGCTGAGGCCTTGCGCCGCCCTCGAACCCGGGCCTTCTTCTCGCGCCCGCCGCTGAGCCTCGGCCGGGAGCGGAGAGGGCCGCGGTCGCCAGCGCACCCGCCTCCGCCGGCTGCTCGGCGGCCCGGGCCTGGACTTTCGCGGCGGTTTTTGGAAGGGCTGGTGGAGGAGCTCGTCGGCCGCCTTCCAAATTCTTTGTGTCCCCACCCCCGGGCTGGTCGGGGGCCGCTGCGGCGTTTCTCCCCCACTCTCTCCGCCCACCCCCCGTTGGTCCCGAGAGGGTGCGGGGTCCGCCCTCCTCTCCACCCCAACAAAAGGAGAGGCGCGCGGCGGCTCGGGGCGGGTGGGGAGGCCGCCCCTCCTTCACGCGTCTCGCTCTTCCTGAGAAATCTGATAGGGACCGTCTTTGAACCCTGGGCCCGGTTCTAAATGGGCTTGTGCGTCCGGGATTGAAAACGTGTGGCCAGAATGAAAAGTTGAGAGCTGCGGGCTTCACCTTCGGTGTGCAGCTGCCGAATCCTCGACGGATTGCAGGCTGAAGCTCCATCTGAGTTCGCATGTGAATTTAACTGTGCGCCTGTGTTTCTCCGAGCACTCGAGGAAGATGGATGATAGGCAGTGTTCTTTACACGTTGGCTTTCTCTCATATGTTAGCAGTCTAGAAGTAAAGCAAGTGATCAAGGTGGAGGTTTCAAAGCCTTTCACCTACTTGTGGTTGGTTGCCACGTTTCTCCCACCTGCCAAATAAAAATTGAATGACAGAGGATTCTAATATTTGTAGAATTTCTTTGTGGAATGTATTTACGTGTAAGACAGTAGACATTTTTGTTTTAATAAAATCATACTTGTGTGAATTATGATGTCCCAAGAAAAGAAGCATTCAAATTAATGACTTTTTTTTGTTTTGTTTTTGGACAGTTGTGTTTCTGTGGCTCTGAGTCCTTTTAGTTTGCTGACATTTCTTAAAAATTTTTGGGCCTGGTGCAGTGGCTCATGCCTGTAATCCCAGCACTTTGGGAGGCCGAGGCAGGAGGATCACTTAAGGCCAGGAGTTCAAGACTAGTCCGGGCAGCATAGCGAGACCCCCCACCCCCATCTCTACCAAAAAATAGAAATAAAAATTTAGCCAGGTGTGGTGTCGCACCTGTAGTCCTAGCTACTTTCGAGGCAGAGACTTTTGTTTCTTTCCAGCGTTAAAGCCTGTTGTTTTATTTTTTCCCTAAGGGACAAAAGAGCATGTGTATAAGAGCATGGGCTCTACTGTCAGACTCTGACATGGGTTCAAATTCTGGCTATACTTTCTAACTTGGGACCTTGGCCAAATTGTTGGGTCAAATTTCAGTTTCCTCATCTGGCAAATGAGAATAATAATAGTACTCAGCTCATAGTGTTGTTGTGAACATTAAATGGCATAATTTGTGTAATGTGTGTAGCATAGTACATGGCCTATACTACCTGTCGTCAAACACTTGTAGTAATTAGTTTCTCCCAGGGAATTGTGACGATAGGAAATTCTTTTTTATTTTTTTTTGTAAAATAACTAGGTCTTCTGATGGTGATGATATTAAAAAATGTTACTACTTGACATGCATTCCTAGTATTAAGTTCTCTTAGAACCTGAAGTTTATCTCTGAAAACATTGTACTGATAAAGCAAGTGCACATTAGAGAGTTGGATATGAAATTGTATGTTATAGTGGAGTTTGCCACCAGATGGGACAGGACAAACCACAAGAAAAAAAGATAATCAGTTGTGCAAAACGACACAAAATGCAAAGAACAGCTTTTTAAGAAGTTATAAAATTAAGTTAGGTAATGTGAGTGAAGAGATGTGCACTGATTGGACAGACAGGAGGTAGACATGGTAGTGATTGGTGATTGGACATTCAAGGTGAAGAAGATTGAGTTTGGGAATGACATCCTCAGTGGGGCCACCAGGTAGATGATGGCGGCAGTCTTCGGGGTAAGGGAGTACAGGAGGAAAAAGGGCTTTGAAATTGGGAGATACAAGTGGAAAGGAGATGATGATTCAGTTTTGGACGTGTTAATTTTGAGGGGCTCATGAATCATTCAGAGAGAAGTATCTATTTGGTTTTGGTGCAGGTTGGAGGTACAGAAGAGAGATTGGGCTGGAGATCTAGATTTGAGATATCAGCAAGTAGATTGTATTTGCCAGTGGGTGGGTGGTTTGATGAGATTGTCCAGTGAGAATGTGCAGACTTAACTTGGAAGGAATGCCAAAGACAGAACTGCTATGGGTAATGAGTTATTAACTGCTTATTGTGAATGAAAGGTTCTTCCTCATTATCAAATATGATTGAATAATACTTATGAATTAATTTGTGTTCTGCCTTTTAGTTTTTTTTCTATTAGAGGAAGTATAGCACAAATTCTGGATATGAATTTCCTGGGTTTGGTATCCCAGCACAGCCAGTCATTGAGTAAACATGGCTGAGTTACTTGACCACGCTTCTGCCTCATTTTCCCTACCTACAAAATGAGGATGATAGTAGGATTTAACCTTATAGAGTTGTGAGGATTAAATGAATTGATACCTCTAAAGTGCTTAGAATGGTGCTCTGTGTAAGTGCCTAATAAGTATCAACTATTTTTTACTACAATATTTATAATGTGGTGTAGGACCTTTTGTTGGAAATGATAATTCTTTCCATAGTGTGCGTATATGAAATTTGTTGCTCTGTGAAAAGCCTGTTGCTGTTTGAAACCTTATTTCTTTTTAAAGCTTCGTGATTGTTCAGAAACCTTTACTTTAAAAAGAATTATAATGATCTTGTTTTTGTATCAGTTATTTTTTAGCCCTTGCTTTTAATGCGGTTATTTTTTGAGGCTGTGATTTGGTGATTTCTGAAGGCTCTTTATTCTTATATCACTAATTATACTGTTTACTTCAGCTCACCTAGAAAAGCAGCATGTATATTTTGTCCGTATCTAGTAGTTGCCTTTTTATGTGTCTGTTCCCTTCACTTTTTGAGGATAAGGCCCATGGATTCATGGAATGTTGACTGTTTGTAGACACATCGTCTAGGATTTTGTTGGGATTATTTTGTCCTGTCTCTTGATACTCAGCAGTAATGGTGAACATTTGTGTACACTTAAAGCACTTTTTACTGCATTCTCATCTTCATAACCCAGAGAGGCAGAAGAATGTACTAAAGAATACAGGTTCTGGGATCAGATTGCACAGATTGAAATCCTGCATATACCACAGAAAAATGGGGATGACAGCCTTTATACAATTAATGTGAGGATTAGGTGAGTGAAGTGTGTAAGTGAGCTAATACAGTTCTAATAATGCATTAGTACTGTGCCTGTAACATAAGCGTTCAAAAATATTAGCTACTGCTATTATTTTTATATTACTGTTATTGTTATCATTTTCTAGATGGGGAATTGAGGTCTAGAAAGAACAACTTTATTTGCCTAAATCAGGACTCAACTACTTCTCTGATTTCAGAATTTTTTTTTTTTTTTTTTTTTAAGACAGGGTCTTGCTCTGTTGTCCATGCTGGAGTGCAGTGGTGCAATCTTGGCTGACTGCGATATCTGCCCCTGGGTTCAAGTGATTCTCCCACCTCAGCCTCCGGAGTAGCTGGGACTATGAGCACCATGTCTGGCTAATTTTTGCATTTTTTTGTAGAGATGGGGTTTCACCATGTTGCTCAGGCCGGTCTTGAACTCTGGGGCTCAAGGGATCTGCTCACCTTGGCATCCCCAAGTGCTGGGATTACAGGCATGAGCTACTGTGCCTGGCCTACTCTTTTTATTTGACTATATTTTCTTTCTGCAGAATATTTTCTGTGGGTACTTGCAGGTTTCCTAACAGTGTCACTGCTACTATCCCAAATGTTATGCCTGCTTTCTTAGTCCTTCCTTTGTTAATTGGGTATCATTTTGCTGTGTAAGCAGCCAAATTTAATGAATCTTTATTTCCATCAGATCTTTATTTCTGAGGAAAATCTTACATGAGTGGGATTTCCTGCATATAGACTTATTTAACACCTCAGTTGTTTTTAGTCTTCTATGTGTTAGTAACTTTGGACAGATGGGCCCAGTCTTTCAATCTACAGAATCTTCTTTGTTCAATTCATAGTTCCGTATATTACCAATACTTCAGTGCTGCCTGTCTTATCTTGCTAGACACATGTACTTCCCTGAACTTCTGTTGTACTCATCTCACTAATTCTTAATGCTGAATATCTAACCTGCTTCTCTAAGTGTTAGAGAGAGACTAGAACATTCTAGAGTTGATCTCTATGTCTTGGTATCTTGCCATTTGAGATGAGGTTTACGTTAAATCATTTCTCTTATTTAATACTTTTGTTTCTCTACCTCATCTTACTGAAAAGTTTGCGACTACCATTAGTCCTTCATTTTAACCTTAGCATACTACTCTCCCAATATGATTTAACCATCTTTCCCTTGAGCCCAAAAGGTCTCTTGTTCCTAAAGCTTACCCATTTTATTGTACTTTGAAATTCTATCTTGCCACCTCTCTGAGTCTTGATCCCACAACTTTCCCTATTCTGACATCTTCAATCTACTCCTTTTAGTGGACCTTTCTCTTAAACCATAAGATGCCTTTCTCGTAATAAAACAAAGATCTATTGAGTGTTCTGGTGTTTTCAGCTGCCAACCAAACATTCCTTTTCCTTTCCTTGTCACATTTCTCCCATGTATGTGATATAGTCATGGCTACTTCCTATTAATTCTCTTCCTTATCAATCCTTGGGCTATACAGTTGTACTTATGTGTACTTGACTTATAGAGCTCTTGAGGACTAGGAACCTTTGATTTTTTTTTCTTTTCCTCAGCACTGATTTCA